AGTTAACATCTGTTGGTGTCAAACTACTGTTGGTACGGGTCAGAATTTCACACCTACCAGCTTCCCAAAGACAAAATGTTCAGGATAGTTCTTCAGGGTTTGCACCATGCCACTACAACCATAATCAAAGAAGAATTTGAAAAATATATGGTTTTGAGGCTGTTAATATAACTAATATCCTTTCAAGATTCAAAGAACCGCTCCCAATATTCTTTGTACACATTTAAAATTCATATAACAAAGAAATCTTTAATATTGACTTCCTTTACTAGACTGAAGTAAAGACCGGAGAACCAAGAAAAAAAAAGAGTAATTTTTCAATGCATTACTCCAACATGACTCTTGCCAGCTTAACCTCAAATGAATATATCCTCCAATCTGACAAAGTAAATTACATAGGTCTAACAGTTGACAGAAGGATGACATGGGGCCCTCACATCACTGCTAAATGAAAGATACTAAATCAACGATTTATGCTGTTATATTCCATGCTTGGACATCTCTCAAAATTAGACACAAGACAAAAACTTAACATTTAAAATTACTGACTTAAACCAATTTGGACATATGCTTCACAAATATATGGAATTGACAAAAAAACACATTCAGAAATTACAAATATTTCAGGCCAATCACACAAGCACCTTGGTTTGTTAGTAACATTTTTTTTTTTTTGTTTATTGTAATCACATTTACTGGTTGTCACTGTACATTGACAGTTGTGATTAAAAAAAAAAAAAGGGAGAAAAATAAACTTGTCTACTTTTAGGATTTTATGTACAACATGATCTTCACCAATCTGCCAACCATAAGTCATACTAATACCATATATTTTAAATAAATTATGTCATATACTTCTTTTATTTTAAAAAATGAATGGGTGGAAGCTATACACAATCCCCTTACATTTGGCATTCCATAGCGTTATCTTGGTACATACAAGCAAACCACTTGTGAATTAATATCGTTTAGGTATTAAGAAATGATAAAATGATCACATAGTGATAATTATAGAGAGCTAATTGGAATATTCATCAGATATTATTTTTTAAATTACAGCAAATCATTAAAATGACCATCAGCCAAACAAGGATTTTAAAATATCATATAACACATATTGAGAAAAAAAACAGTATGATCTAAAGTTCATAGGTTAAAAAAAAGCGGCTCATGAAAAAAAAAACACCGATATAAAAAAGTAGTTTAAATAGTGCCGACTAATTTAGTGAAAGTAATTGGACACAAATTTAAATTAATAATAATTTCAACTTAAGCTTAAAATTTTAAAAATGTATACATTATATAACTTACATTCTAGAATTCATGTTTATATCTAATAATAAAAGTAAGTCCACATCAAAATCTCCGCTCCAAAAATTGTTTGAAACCAGGTACACAATACAAAGAACAAAGAACCACCATAGAGCTAATGTTTTATATATAACTATTGCTATATTACTTTCTTATAATATGATTCAGTACCAACAGGCAGAATCTGTATTCACTATTTCTCTTAGTTAACATTGGTTTTCTATATTTCTGAAGAAGCGTGAAGTAGGAATTGAGGAAGGGACTAAAACCAAAATAAACTCTATGGTAGTAAATTTCATTAATAAACTATGCTTACACGAAGAAAACAAAATTTTAAGTAAATTAATAAAACTAAATCATAATATAATCTAATTCATAGAAATTATTAGGTAAAAAGGTGTAAACAAAATTTTAAGTAAATTAATAAAACTAAATCATAATATAATCTAATTCATAGAAATTATTAGGTAAAAAGGTGTACCAGGAGCACCTATCCCCCCTCAAAATCTATGGTGTATGAGCCTCCTCCCTATCCATATATTTGATGTGTCTTGGGACGGTTTTATGGAATTTAGGAGAGAGCTGCTCGAATCATGGATATTAACACTCTACAAAGGTTACGCAACACATTATAACAAAAAAAAAGGTGAGAAGGAAAATCTAATGAACTTTTAATTCCAAAATAGAAATAGAAAATAAACTGAAGGCAAATAAATTGATAATTAACGAGTTTACATCCAGCAAATCCGTCTTGATCAATCGGTAATTCAATCGAAGAATAAACAAACGCACTGAATTCCTTCGATGGAACGGTATTACTGAGCAAAAGGAAAATAAAAAAGTATGATTGAAACGCTGTTTGCAATAACGAAGAAAATATTGTCGAACGTAATACAATACTGTTAGTGCCAACGTTTCGGCTTAAGTTTATCCGAGTAACAAATCACACTTTCTGTAGCAACCATAGCAGCAATATTGCCTTTCTTGTACAACCAACAATGCCGTGTTTAATTTGTCTAATGATATATCTGATTTTATTTATATCATATAAAGAAAGAAAGAAAGTTGAATTTTATTCTGGGACATCTTGTCCTCTCAGAACTACTATAATGACAAGTGTCTGGCATTAGAATACAATTAAAAATAAATTAATTTACTAAATGACAGTAGTAGATACGTGATATTGAAGTAGACATATGAGTTTAAAGATAAATATATACGAGTGAGTTCACGTATTTATACAAATAAGCAGTATGGCACATATTAGATATCTGAAAGATACCAGTAAAATGTAGCTGACATCACTAAACTACAAAATAACTTTTTTTTTACATATATTCGGAAGATTATTACTGAGGAAATAGAAAAATATATGAGGTCAAGGATGAGGATTTCAGTATAGGGATTGGTAGGGAATTACAAAAGCACGTATGAAGCAGTAGCACGTATGACGAAGGATTTTTAATGGCAATAGTTCTATGAGAAGGAATAAATAAATTTGAGAGTTGGGATTTCGTGTTGAACGAATGAACAGAGTAGCAAGTAGAAAAGAAATCAAGAAGGTAAGAAGGTTTTTTGGTTGTAAAGGTTCGGAAAAGGAATACATCTAGGAAATATTGCCGTCGGAAAACGGGATAGAGCCACTTCAACTCGGCATAGCAACTGGAGAAGTGAGAGCGTCAGGGGACTCAAAGGATAAATCTAACGAAACAATTTTAGTCTGTTTAATCTGATCTCAAGTACACCAAACAGTCCACCGTATACAAGACAGTCATAATCGAAGTGAGGGAAAATGATAGAGGAAACTAGGAGTTGACGAATTTTAAGGGACATAGAGTCACAGAATCTTAGAAACTATTCGTGGTAGCAATGGACTTTCGGATAATTTAGGATGTATGATTATTTCAGAACAAATGTAGATCAAACATTACACGAAAGCTTCTGACGGAAGTGTGGAAACTTATGGGTATCCCTTTGAGGTAGAGTAGAGGATAATGAGGAATGAGGTTAATCAGATGCTTGGAACCAATGAGAATGGCTTCGGTCTTCTCAACATTTAATTTTAAATCCTTGCTCTCTGCTCATACAGTCAATATGCCGCTAATGACCCGATCGGGTAGATGCGGAATGTAAAAATAAATAAATAAAATAATAAATACAGTCAATATCTTCTTGTATCCTTCGGATCTCGGTAGGGGGAGGAAGCAGTTTTATTGGGAATGATTGCTGTTTGAGATCTTTGCTACAAAAAAGAATGAAACTATAGAGCATTATTTGGTATGGAGAGGTTTTGGAGTTTGGTAAGGAGAATTTCGTGATTAACGGTGTCGAAACTTTTGAAAAATCAAAGAGACCTAGGATAGAAATTTCTTGTTTGTCTATAGTGAGATGAAGGCCCTCGGAAATTTTCAGCAAAGCTGATTGGGTCGATAACTGGGATCGGAAACCAGACTGGAGGGGATTGAGCAGAGCTTTCTGCTCAAGGAAAGTATTAAGCTGTGAAAGAACTATTCTTTCATGGAGCTTTGAAAGATTGGAGAGAATGGAGATAGGTCTGAAATAGGAAACTTTGGAGGGGACCAGAACTTTGCTCAGTGGGTGGACAATAACTTTTTTTTCAAGCTAAACTGGAATTTTGTAAGGAAAAATTATAGATATACAGTAGGACAGGAAAGATGACAGGAAGACATAATTTCATTAACTTCATAGGAATTAGATTCGGGCCATAGTAGTTTTTTTTCTGGATTTTAGGACAAAGGAAAGTAGGTCTTCTGGTAAAACATTTGTAAAATAGAAATTTTCAGTGTCAAAGGAAGTTTTAGGAATGTAGTATGAAAGGGAAAGTGGCGATGAGTCAGGATCAGCAAAGTGGAAATTCATTTGATCTGAAGAAACAACTCCTACCAGCAGGGGTACCCACAAGAGGGTTTCGTGGCGCAAGGTGCGCCATCAAAATTTTTGAGGGGAATATATTTTGACAAGGTTATGAATTGAAAAGTTTCAAACCAGGAGACTAGGAAAAAGCATAGCACAGACCACTGAAAGTGTAATTGTATATGACCTATGGTTTTTAAAATTTTACTTTATCTTGCACTTAAGGGTTAATTAGAGAAATAAAATATCTTGGGAGGTGGGGGGAGGGGTATCATGCGCCATTGACCTTGGGAGGGAGGATGGGCACTCCTGCCTACCAGGGTACAGGTTTTTAAGGATTTTTCTTCGGGAATTAGGATCTGAGACTTGTGATAAGTAACTACTAAAGAATTATGCTTTAGCACGTCGCAAGGAAGATTGGGTAAGGTTTCGAAGAGTCTTAAAAGAGAAGTAGCCATCGTGATTACGTATTCGTCTGACACGCCTCAATGCAGCGTATCTTCTCTTTATCAACTCTCTTATTTCAGGATTAATCCAGGGAGCAGCAGGGCGTCTGAAGGTAGTGGTCTTTAACGGTGCGTATTTATTCAGGAATAGAAATATTTTGGGGGAAAAACATTCCATCGTTTCATCGATGGAGAAACAGGAATAAATGAGATCTAAGGATTGGGCTTTTATTTTATTATATTAACTGTTTTTATCCAATAATATATATCTGATTATTCATTTTTGAAATTAAGGCAGCTCAAGAGTTTTCAATTCTTGGATATAATCTCCACGTAATCTCCACTTTTGAAGAAGTTATACCTCTTTGTAAAATATTTAGCTCATGACAATCCGTCTTCAAAAGTTTTGAATTGTGAAATTGCAGCTACATTAGTTAATGTGAAATGTCATTAACTTCTGATGTTGATGTTGAGAAAATTGGTAATAGTTTGGAAGATGAACAACAGACGAGGGCTTTACAAAGGGAGAAATTTCTTAGATGCATTTCTTCTATTGTTGGTATGATTGTAGAATAATTATTTAGGAATTTTTCATTTCTTATATTTGTTTTTCTTCAAGGTTCAGAGAACATTACCTAATCAGATTACAGCACTATGATTAGAAACCTTTTTTAATGAGGTTTAAAAAAACAAAACAAAAGTTTTATATTATTTCTTAGATTGATAATGGTTATAATGAGCTAAGCATTTAATTTTCACAATTTTACTTCTTCTTCTATCTGCTCTCCGATCCTCTAAGTTACTGGTATACTGGTATACTGGTGTGGTATACTTCGTTATTGATCATCAGATTTCACTATTGAGTGCTGCTGCCTTCCAATTACAGACATAAAGTGTAGCTTGGCCATCTGATGCGACACATTCTTCTATCATTTTATTTACCTAATTTTATCTTTTTGGATATTTACATATTATTTAGGAAATATTTGTTATCTGCATAGTTTATCTTTCCAGCTTATTTACCTACCTCTCTTTAATTTATTGTTGATGATTTAATTCTGATTGAAGCAAAAACACATTTTCTCTTTGTCACTAGCGGATCCAGGATTGGCTTCATCCCAAATTTTTTTTTTTTTTAAATATAATGATAATTACTTTGGAAGAAAAATAATAAACTGCCTATGCAAAATGATGTCTAAGTGATTCTTGAAGTCCTATTAAATTTAATTACATGAACATTAATACTTTTAGAGATAATGTTTTAATATTTTTTTTTTTTGTGTATGAGAATCATAAACAATTATCCACGTTATACCAAAGTATCTATTATGCTAGCAGAATTACAGCTTCCCACAATAAAAAAATATATTTATTTTAAAACACAAAGATTTTTTGAACTAACACCAACGTCTGAAAACCCTATCATTCGAACAATAGGAAACTATGACAAAACATCTTTGAAACGGTATACACACAGACGGACTTAACACATACTACTAAACGTCTAAATCAATTAGTTTATTTGTGAAAATTTAACGATTTCTTATCAATCACCAAACAAGTAACAATAAACTCAATCACCCATGTGTGTGTGTGTTGTGTGAGTAAGTATGTGTATGTGTGTGTGTGTGTGTGTGTGTGTGGATGTATACATGTATGTGTGTATGTAGATATATATATGTATATGTATATGTATGTGTATGTGTATTTTCCTTTTGCACATAAATTATATTTAGTTTTCTCGCACTTTTAATGATTGTAACATAATTTTTTTTTTTTTTCATTGATATCTTATGTAGGTTTTTATGAGATTTTTCCTACTGTAAAAAAATTAATTTCAATTTTCGAAGCAGTATTCAAACCACTGTTATGTCAAGTGTAAGGTTACTACAACCATAAACTTATCTATATGACATGTTGTAATATATAAAAAAATAATTAATAAATAAATAAAAAAAAAATAAAAAAAAAAAAATATATTTTTTTCTTAAGACATGGTAATATTTTACCATTTTTTGAGAGAGGGCTTCAGTCAGGCATTCATACCTGAAGAGAATAATACCTGCAACCTTATCATAAAGTCCTAAATAATTCGGATTTATAAAGCTCTTATCCAACTTGTACTCCTAAGTGATGTGTAATCCAACACATCAAACTAGAAAGCTTAAACTTGAACAAATATGTTGTGTCGATAGAAAAGAAAGAGATTCCTAAAATGGTACAAAACCAAATGAAATCCAAATGTTCTAGATCTGGATTGTTACTTCAAGATGGCGGCTGGTTTCAAGATCACTTTAACCACGCTGTATATGGAATACCAATTTAACCTGAGGGTGTCGTAAACTAGACGTCCAACATTCCATACATATATTAATATTTGGTTAGGTTAGGTCAGCTCAAGCCCTCAAGTTTACTCCATTTATTTGTAGTTATCATTGTAATATGACTTGTTATATATGTGTATCACCTGTTTGTGAAAATGTGTTGTTTTGACTTACCTATTAGATTTGTAAATCAATTTGTGATTATCAGGACATGGCCACTTTTGGCATTTCTCAGGATTCTATATCAGTGTGCTAAAACTGATGTTGATACCAGTCCCTATCTAGGAGTAATAATTCAGAATTAGTTTAATTTAATTTTTTATATTCCTTATAATTATAAAAAAGTTGATATAATTTCATATAGAATGTCATATCATGTTGACTATTAGGTTGTATAAAAATTTGCTCTGTAAAATTTAATTATGTCGGTTTTTCAATCTATATATATTATAGAATTTGGATTAAGTAGGTCAACCTTGTGGGACTTACTCAATTGAATAATCTGTTATTTATACTTTAATAAGGAGTGGGGTAGATCAGTGGTAGGGTACTGAGCTTCCAATGCTAAAGGTCCCAGGTTTGAACCCCGGCTGATGGCAGAAAATTTATTTCTCTGTTTCATTGGCTGTAGGGCGACCATCCTGGGGCACACCCAGCCTCTAGTAAGTGGGTTCCCTTAGTTAAATAATTAATTACGGGAGGGAATTCTGGCGGTTGAGCGTGATCTCGGTCAAACCACCTCTTTACACAAACGTTGCCCTAGAAACAGAGCTTTCCCTAAATAGTACTGAACCCAAGACCCTTCATGGGTTGTACTGGTACAGGTTTATTTATTTTTTTTATACAGTGATGGAAAAAAGTATTTGCACATCATGTTTTTATGAATAAATGAGTTCAAGGAACCAAAAAACTTCGCTTTCCTCTGCAAAAATGAAAAATACATTTCTTAAAAATTGAGAAAAACCTTTTGGCAAAAAATGACAACACTCCATAATGAAACAAAAAAATTAAAACAATAAAAGTGCTTGGAAAAAAGTATTTGCACACTATGACTCACAAGCTCTGTTTATAATAATAATTGGTAAATGGTTGACTGTCGTGGATAATGAAGAGAAGAATAGTTGGGGTGGTCAGTCAAAAAAGAAGGCAAAAATAAATGATAATATTTATTTTTATATATGCCGACGTTTCGACCTGAAGTTCAGGCCTTCATCAGGGCTAAGAAAATAACCAGATAACAAGGTATGAGAAACATAAGTAGTGATGGTAAAAAAAATTAAAGTATAATGTTAGAATAATGACTAAGAACTAAGAGATAAAAAATAATAACCGTTAAAAAGTTACTTCTTTTTTGGCTGACCACCCCAACTATTCTTCTCTTCAAGCTCTGTTTACTTTGACATTAATCATCCTGTGTTCATAGGTCATAGGTTTGTTTACTAATTTATCTCTAATCGTTTATTACCAGTATTCTCTAGTCTTTCAATCAGTTTCCTTTAGTCAATAGACAATTATCATGCCAAAGACAAGTGAACTGTGTGCCGCAACTGGCGAAAAAATTGTTTTACTGAGGAGTCAGCAAAAAACATATCGCCAAATTGCCGATTTCTTAGGGTTGAATTTTTCTACAGTGAGATACGTCATAAAAAGGTATGAAGAACGTGGTTCAACTGAAAACAGAGAGCGTAAAGGGTGTCCAAAAAAGTTAACTCCCAGGCTGAAGAGGAAAATCAGAAAAGAAGCTGTTAAAAATCCACTGATAAGTTCTCGGGAGCTGGCTACCATGGTCCAATCAACGTCTGGAGTTCAGATTACTAGCAGAACGATTAGATATGCCCTGAATTCGGAAGGACTCCATGGTAGAGTTCCAAGAAAGAAGCCATACATCAGTGAAACGAATCGCAAAAAGCGCCTTGCTTTTGCTATGGAGTACGTATAGAAACCCTTAAGCTTTTGGGAAAATGACGAAAGCAAATTTAATTTGTTTGGTTCAGATGGTCGAAGGACGATATGGCGACATCGTAATGAAGCCCTAAAGAAGCAAAATGTTTTAACAACTGTAAAGCGTGGTGGAGGACATGTTATGGTTTGGGGGTGTTTCCTACCATGGCGTGGGAAATCTTGTGAGCATCGAAGGCATTTTAAATGCGGAAGGCTATGTGAACATTTTGCGACGTAATTTGCGTGTTAGTGCTGAAAAAATGGGAATCCAGAATCTGTACTATTTCCAGCAGGATAACGATCCAAAACGTACTTCGAGGAGTACAAAGGAATGGTTAATATTGAATGTTCCAAGACAGCTCCACACTCCTCCTCAGTCACCAGATATAAATATCATTGAAAATTTAAGGCACACCCTTGACCAAAATGTAAGAAAACACCATATCACTAGTGGACATCACCTTAAACAACTTCTTGTTCAAGAATGGGAACAAATAAAAGTAGATTTAATTAAAACCTAGTGCATTCAATGCCCAGACGTCTACAAGCAATTATTGACTCAAATGGCCTATTTACAAAATATTAAAACTATTAAAATTTAATATGAGAAGGAGTTTGTCGGGGGTGCGGTCAGATAAATACTAAATTAAAATATAGTAATTATTTTATTTTAATTTTGCCGACGTTTCGATCCCCTTTCCAGGTCGTCTTCTGGGCGTAGGATGTAGAACTGGGGGAGGCAGTGCTACATCTTACGCCCAGAAGACGACCTGCAAAGGGGGTCGAAACGTCGGCAAAATTAAAATAAAATAATTACTATATTTTAATTTAGTATTTATCTGACCGCACCCCCGACAAACTCCTTCTCATATTATATCAACGGACAACCATCTCTACATCATTATTAAAATTTAAAATAAACTTGTAAATGTGGAAGTGTGCAAATACTTTTTTCCAAGCACTTTTATTGTTTTAATTATTTTGTTTGGATTGAAGTGTTTATATTTTTTTGTCAAAAGGTTTTTTCAGTTTTTAATAAATTTACTTTTCATTTTTGCAAAGGAAAGCGAAGTTTTTTGTTTCCTTGAACTACTTTATTCATTAAAACGTGTTGTGCAAATACTTTTTTCTATCACTGTATGTTAATATTTGTTGATGATATATCTTTATGTAGCAGCATAATGGTATATTTTATAAAAACTTATTTTTCTAAATTAATTTTGGTTTTTAATTGTATATATTTATGAATATTCAGTTAACTTTGTTTATGTATTTCTGGTAAAAATAATTTTACAATGAATCCTAAAGTAATGTATTGTTTTTATTTATAGGTGAGTTCTGCAATGTGAAGACTGTGGAATTAAATAATGTCTCTGGTTTTTACCATGGTATGGACATCCATGTTCAAGAAATCTTCATGAAAAATCTATTGACTCCCTATTCTCATCTCAACAATGGTTTATTACGGACTCAGGATCTCTTATATGTTTCATTTCCTGATATAGGTGAAGGCTTTATGTAACATTCATAATTTTCTTTATATCCAAATAAGAAAACCAAAATCATTTGAATTTTTTATAATATTAGTTTTAATTGTACTTTATTTACTTTCATAATAAAACTTTTGCTCTTTAAGTGAACCATAGAGCATTAAAAACTTCTCAGAATTATTATGTATAAAATATAAAATATATTATATGTATAAAATATAAAATATATGTATAAAATATAATATATGTATAAAATATAAAGTGAGGGACAGTACTGCGATCGTGAAAATTTTTTAATTTGAGTTTTTAATGGAAATATTTATTTTGTGGTCTTCTGAGTTCAAATAAACAAGTTCCGCAAAAAAAGGGTCTGTGCTTGAGTGTCTGTTTGTGTGTGTTTGTATGGGACAAGTCTAGCTCAAAAATTAAAAGTCGTATGAAAGTGAAATTACATATTTAAGGTTTGTGTATACTTGAGATGTTACAGTACCTTTTTCGTCAAAATTGGCTAAATGGAAGTGGCACTTTATATAATCGATGTTACACATTTTTACAATTTCCTCGAAAAAGGCTCTAACGTTTTTGATCAAACTCGGTATATCAGTGTATTATTAAGTGGTCTTTAATATCAGCTAGATCTTATTTCGATGTTGCCTTACAGGAATTAAATATCCAATATTCAATATGTCTTCCTCTAAAATACCTTTAATTTGATTTATTTATAAAAATTAACTGTCTTTCATTGTTAGGAGTTATGAAAGCTAGGAGATATGGAAAAAAGCTAAATATAACTTTTGAAAGAATTTGATCATTCAATAAAGAAGAAATAAAAAAAATGCTTATCCAGCTTGAAAAAGAATCTCCGGAAATAATATTCAGAAGGTTGACATATAATATATTATTGGAATGTGGAGACTTTTAGAAAAATTATATCTGATTAATAAAGTTGTAAAAGGTAATGGAGAGTAACAAATAAATTATAAATAATAATTTCTGAAAATTAACGTTATTTAATGTAAATCATGTTTCCAAGAAAATTAAATTAAACTTTCTTAAACTTCTAATTTTTTTTTTAAGTTTGAAAAAGGTATTTAAAATCCTCTAAATCAAGACAATGACATTGTTTAAAATACTATTTCATGGATGTCTAAAGTATATGTTTATAACCTTAAATACATTGTCTTCTATCTTCTCTATCTTCTCCACGGTCTGAAAGCCCCTACCTGTAATTATTCAAAGAAATAGAGTTTTACTACCGAGTGTAGAAATATAAGGATATGCCAATGAACCTTCGGTGTAGAGGCATTACAACAATAAAATAAAATACATTTACTGTAGCTTAGTAATTCTAGATCTGATATATTTAAATAATTAAGAGTCAACGTTCATTTATTTCGAAAATCATCATGTAACCTTTTAGAATATTAAATTAGTGAATAATTTGATGAGTATCTATAGTTCAGAGACTGGAGTAGTGTGGTTTACAAAAAAGTTGGAGTAACAAGGTTTTTATTGCCTGCCATTGATATAATTAATAGGATTTTTGCTATTTTAATGGTGTTAATGATTTGTCAGCTGTAAGCTTCAAGCTGTACCTCCGTTAAAAAACTTCAACAATTTTATAATAGCCCAACATTGGCAGAAAATAATTTCTATTCAAATTAGAGCTGTAAATGAAAGTTTTGTGTTGCATCACCAAATTTTTTTTATTATTCTTTTATGATATTTGCAACTGCATTGTAGCACATCAAGCATATAATATTATAATTATGCCTGGTAATAATTTCAAAATAGGAATAGAAGGTTTAAATAATTAAAATATTTTCATAAAATATATATTTGTAATTCCAGTTTTAATTCTATAAATAATTTATTGTCCAATTATTATAAATCTGAGTTGAATTTAAATATTGTCTAATAGTTTTCTTTTAACATCCATAGCGATCTCACTTTGTTGTATTGACTATCTAAATTTTTAGTTTCCTAAGATAATTATGATATACATAATTCAGTCTTATCATTATTTTCCTTATCTCTTAACGCTTAGGATAATTAAAATTATTTACATTTTTTTTAACAGGTACATGTGTGATTTGTTTCACCTCAACGATAATATCTATCTTATTTTTTCATCAGCATTTACTCTTTTTATTTTTGTACAAATATTATTTCGTTCTTCAAATTCATTTTCTTCATCATAGAGGGACAGGTCTCTTCCAAGATAACATACAATCACATCCAAAACAACACCAATCAATGTTAAACCTAAAAAAAAAATTATATTTTTACTCTTAATTGAAAAATAAATCAACTATATCTTGAAAAGGTTTACTAAATTAACAAAAATGATAATAAAGTAAAGAAAAGAAAAATAATCCAAATGCTTACTAGCTGCTGTCCCATTCATATAGTGCCGAAAAGAGTCTCTGTCGTAAAACGTACAGCTACCCTTCACACCACAGTTTTCTTCCCAGATAAGGCATGATGAATCTGCAATAATTTAATTATTATCTCTGTTAAAGCAGCAGTAGTATAGATATGACAATCATGGCAGATTCTTACCTATAATATATCCAAATAGTATTGGTCCGGGAATAAATGCCATAAGACTGATGAGTAGAAGAGCTAGACCTTGGGCAAAAGATTTGTCTTCAGGAGCAACAGCTCTGAAATATTTAATTAAAAAATTATGAACTTAATATAAAAATTAAAAGAAGTGATATTTTTCAATACTTACAAATACTGAAGAAAACATGAGTATTTAGCAAAAATTCAAAATTCAAAATAAAATTGAACATTTGAGTTGTTTATATGTTATTTATCCTGGATTAGTTTTTGGTAATTATAGTGACACATATCTGTAGTTGTCAAATATATAAACTTTATCCAATTTTCAATCATTTTATATTATCAAGATCTTTTAAATAATGGGAGTTCTCTGTGGGGATAGCAGGAAACCATCAAGCTTCTTATTCTGGAAACTTCAATTCTCTTTATAACAGCGTAGTTCAATTATATATACTGGGAATTAAATTTAGTAATAGAGATTGTATTTTCAATTGAACCAGAAATTGATTGGCAATATGTCAAATTGGTTGGCTTTGCAGGTCTTCTTCAGGGCTAGAACAGACAAGATACAAAAAGATATAGAGAAATGTGGAAGTTAAATAATATTTAAACAAAAAATTATAAACAATGTGAATAAACTTATTAATTAAAATTATAAACAGTAAGTACATTAAAATATAAAAAGAGTAAGCTAAGTAACAAGATCATAAACTGAATTAAATAGATGGTAACAATTGTTGGAGTATAATATATAATATAATATATGGGATTGTGAATATACTCCTACAGATCTACGCTAGAGATTGGAAGAAAAGGAAAAAAGGACATAAAGGGATGTGGAGAAAGCAAAGAAAAAAGAAAACCAAAAAATAAAGAAATAAGTAAATGCTACTTTTACTTTTGCTTTTACCCTTACCCTAATTTTCCAGTTCTTTCTCCACATCCCTTAATTTCCATTATTTCATATTATATCATTTTCCCTTTTCTTCCAATCTCTCCCGTAGATCCACTAGCGGATCCAGGATTTAATTTTGGGGGGCTTCAGTCCAAAAGCTTTTTTTTTCATATATATAATGATAATTAATTTGAAAAAAAAGACACTAACTACCTGTATGACGTGTTTAAGTGATTCTTGTAGTACTATTAAATGTAATTACATGAACAATAGTACTTTATGAAATAGTTTTTAATATTTTTTTTTATAAAACATGGTTATATTTTACCACTTTGGGAGGAGGGCTTCAGCCCGAAAGTCCCCCCGTAAATCCGCCTGTGCATAGATCTGTAGGAATATATTCGTAATTGCATATATTATATTATTTATTATACTACAACAACTGTTACCATCTATTTACTTCAGTTTAGGATCTTGTTGCTTACTCTATTTATATCTTAATGTACTTACTGTTTATAATTTCAATAAGTTTATTCACATTGTTTATATTTTTTTGTCTAAATATTATTTAACTTCCACAATTCTCTATATCTTTTTGTATCTTGTCCGTTCTAGCCCTGAAGAAGACCTGCAAAGTTGGGTTGAAACATTGGCTTTTAATAAAATAGTTTTGCCATTATTTAATCTATTTATGACCGCCACCCCGGACCATCTCCTTCCTTAATAATGCAACTGTCAACTATTAAATATTCAATACTAATTTTTATTTTCCTATAATTATTTCATTGCAGTTTCTCCAAAATGAGTATCTCTCTATAATTGACAAAAAATAATTCTTCATAGGTATCTATTATGGAGAAGTTTTACTTTATTTAAATTTTTTACAGAAAAAAGTAGTATTGTTCTTATATCATATTAAATAGCCCATACAATTAATTGTAGGATGTAATTTGTTCTTTTAATATTTCTGTATATTTTTTCTACTTTAAGGTCCTCAAATGATACATTATTTTTATATAAATAAAAGTAGCATTACATTGTTTTAAGCATCCACTCATGTTTATCTTTTTTTTTTATTTGATTGTATTTTGTTGTATTTATGTGATCTTATCCTTTACTGTATTAGTTATTCAGTTTTATTTATTTTTGTTTTTTTCAGGTAACAGTTCTAAATCTAAAATAGAAAAGAAAGAGAAAGAAGAAGAAATTCAGGAACCTGAATGCGAAATTCATGATACCCTAAAATAATTAGTTTATATTTGGTATGTGATAATTTAAATCTGTATTGTAATTAATTGTAACTATTGTATTTCATTAATTTTATAAACCTTTTGTCAAATGTTCATTTAGTGAATGTTAAATGTCTTCATCTGTTTTTAATACTTTTAATATTTATTACAATGTCTGATACTAGTTTTTATTCTTAAAATACAAAGGATATTCAACAGTTGATCTGGATATTGTTATCATTTTTGCAATTCTGTACTTAGGTTTTTGTTAATTAATTCCATTGGTTTAGTGAATTTGGTTAAAAAGAAAAGTCTTTATCTTGGTTTTATCAGCAACATATTAAACACCTATAGATATTTATACAATTTTTTTTTTGTTAACAGATTGATAATTACAGGCAGTAGGTGGTAGAAGGTATTGGCAAATCTCTTCTGATTTATAGATCATTTATATATATTGTTGCTATCATAAAAACTATTATATCACCAATCGTTTTTTGTGATCTATGACTGTTTTGCTGGTTATAAGATTTTTGTTATATATTATTTTAATGCAAATATTTGATTATGTAAGTATGTAAAGTACTGAGTCGCATTTATGGACCAGTAGGCTCAGGTAACGATTAGCGAAGGCAGAGTAATGCAGAACTTGCCGTCATACATAATGATACGGATGTCGTCCTGTTCAATAGAATATAACTTTAAAATGGGCGGGTCTTGTGGCCAGGATGGATGAGAATAGCCCAACCAGCAAAATTATCCTGACGCGCCCAGAAAGAAAAAGAAGAGTTGGGAAATCTAGATTGCGCTGGTTGGATGGGGTCGACGCGGATGGTAGAGCTCTTCTTGGACTCGCTATCTGGAGGAGAGCTGCAAGAGAGAGAAAGAGACCAGTGGGCGAGACTAGTTGAGGAGGCCAAGACTCAGCGATGAGTTGTACCGCCCATGAAGAAGAAGTACGTATTCAAAATATTATGATACATAAATTCTGTGGTTGTTGAAGTTCTCTTATAATTAAAGAAGATAAGTAATATTTTTATTAGAAAAATAAATATTGTTTAGGAAAAATGTAGTTTGTTCTGGTTTGATAATTACTATCCTCTTCTTTCCTTTTTAGTCTTTTTTAATCTATTCATAAAAAAAAAAAAAAGTCTGCTAAGTAACATCAATATAGCTTCATTACAATTTTCATGGGCTAAACAATTATCTATATTTCAAGGCTTATAATTTTTCATTTGAGAATAAAATCTTCGGTAGATACTGTTTTCGGAAATATGATAATCCCTCAAGATTCGCAGGTTTTGTTCATCAGTGAATACATAAATGTGATAATGTTTGAAAATTTCATATTTGACAATTCATGATTACAAAAAAAATCCCAGTACATATTGAACACGCAAATATTTAGTAGGTTTGTTTTACTCAAAAAATGGATGGAACAAAAAATCCATTGAAAAAATTAAATATTTTATTTGTTCAGTTTTAACGAGTTCAATGTTTTCCATCGGTCACAACAAAACTAATTTGAAGTGCAAATTAGATATCATTAGTTAATTATTAGCTATCACAAATAAGATTTTTTTTTATTTATAAACTCAGCAAAAATTAATTTAAATTTACTGAAAATTACATGAAATCTAAGTAATGACAGTAAGTGTTATGGCAGTAACATGAAATTAACCAAAGAAAAATATTAAAAATGTTTCTCACTGTAAGTTTGTTATTTCAATGTTAAAAAGTATTTTATGTACCTGTAATTGACTAGAATATTTCCTATTTTTCCACTGCTCCCAAGCCACTGCATTATGCAAGATATAATTACAAAAATAATATAATTATATCCACAGTATGTTTTACAAGTCCCTCCTTTCATCACACTTCCTCCGCTAGTTTCATATTCATATTTGCTCTCATTATGTAATGCTGGAATTGTCACTGGATTGTTAAATGTGGTACAGCTGCAATTTCCGTATGTCTACAAATAAGTTATGTTTAATTCATTTTTTATAATCTGTATTTCCTCAAATATTAAACCTTACATTTCTAATTAGTTATGTATTAATAAAGGATGTTCGATGACTTGAGGTCCATACTTCAAATTCTAATAAACATGTGTCCATGAATGCTTTCCAACAGAAATGTAAGTTTTGAATGTTAATATTGATATGTAACTAATTTCTATAATTCCGTTAATGTTTAAATTTTCAGTCAGTCTGCTATTGTTTTATCTTATGTCTGTTAAATTTTCTTTAAAAATCTAGTAAAATGTTTTCAATTGAAGACTAAGACTTTATTACATATTCAGTTATTTGGTGTTGTAGAAATGAAAGAGATTTAATACCTATAAGTAGGTTATAGCAGGCGATTTCTGTATGACAGAGTGCCAGAGAGTCACACATTTGACTAAATTCATTGAAGTCTATTAGAAACTAGATAGTTTCCAATATCTGTCGCTGAACACAACAAAGTAACGAAGATGAAGAAGATTTAATATTAAAATTGATTGAACGTAATCCATCTAGTAGTTTATGAAGAATGTCTAATGAAGTATGTACTACTCTAATGTGATCATATTTTTTAAAACTTAAATTCAGAAATACCATTATCTTGCTTTTAGACAGTGCAACAGTGCTAGACTAAGTATTGAATCTGAAGGATGTCATTTTGGACAAAATTTTGTAAATTCAATTCAACATCTTTTCTAAATGTCTCTTTCTTTTTAAAATTTTGTCGGTGCATTTGATTTAACTAATAATTGAATAATATTTTTTTTTAAATTTAATATAATGATTTTGAATATTGGAAGTTGTGAAGTGACAAAAGATAATCAAAAGATCTATATATATGACGTTTCCAGAAATATGTATGCAAAGAACATGACTACATAAAGAAATAATTCCTTTCACAGAAGCAGTCCAGCCTTAGTTTCTTTACAGTCAGTTAGTTGTTGGTCAGTGGTCCATAAATTCAGTTCTGTAAAAATTTATTTTAATTCTAATTAATCAATGAGTTACATTAAAAAAAAGGCCTCAGGTAAGATTGTATTTTAAACTAATAATTTAAATTGTAACTGACAACTCATAGATAACAAAAATTAAAGAATTGTGAAATATAATTTTTTTTTGTTAATCAAAACTGCTTAAATATATACCTTTCTGTACTTGTATTTTTGTTAGGAAGCATTTGTAGACATTTATTTATTCAATTTTTTTATTTATAAGGCACCAGCAAAGCACCCTAAAAGTATTGAACTAAAGTAATATAAATATACACTGACAGGCAAAAAATTCCACCCCCTTGATTTTTTCATGTTTTCATCTAAAAATATTTCTGCTTTGGATTGGTCTATTGTTTTTAATGAATAAATAGGTAATCTTTCTGTTTGTTTTCAATTAGGAATGTTAATATAGAGGACAATAACCCTTAATCCTTAATTCAATGATATGATTCTAGATTCCAATGTTTACTTTCTATGGAATCAAAATGTTTATTCAGTATCATTAGTTCAGTGCCGTTTCTTGCAGCACATTTCTTAGTCTCCGGCTTTTAATTTTTTCAATATTAAGTTTAAAAACTTAATATCTTTAAGTTAGTATATCTCTTACCTCTTAGTATGTCTTTGCTGGAGGATAGCCCATTCCTCCCGAAGAACCCTTTCAAGGTCCGGCAGTGTATCAGGAAGTGTTGCACGCGCTCTTATTCGTCTTCTTAGGTTATCCCATAAATGCTCAATAGGGTTCAAATCTGGAGAACGTGCTGACCAGGCTAAAACCTCAATATTGTTCTGTTGAAGGAACATTTGCAATATGCGGGCGACATGTGGGCCTTGCATTATTGTGTATTAGAATAGAACGATCGCCGATTTCGTTGAGGATAGGCAACACATGAGGTTCCAAAATCTCATCTACATAGCGAATGGCCGTCAAAGACCCTCCACGAACAACAACCAATTCTGTGCGGCGCTCCATTGAAATCCCAGCCCATACCATTAAGGAACCACGTTGGAAAGGTTGGCTCTGGGAAAAATTACAGGCTGCATATCTTTCGTTTCTTATTTTCCACGCCCGTCTGGAGATCGAAGAGCGAATCTTGACTCATCTGTAAAAAGTACAGCACTCCATTCGTCCATACTCCAATGGCTGTGTTCTCGAGCAAAAGCCAGCTGTGTTATTCTGTGAGTTCTGGTCAACTCTGGTCCTCTTACGGGACAAAAAGCCATTAATCCATACTCATTTAATCTTCTCCGAGCAGTATGTTCAGAAATTTGCACACCTTGAACTTCTTCTAGCTGATGAATCGCTTGAACAACGGTGAATCGCTTGAAGGTGCCGGTTTCGTAAAATTCTCAAAGCCAAAAACCGGTCATCCCGTGGTTCGGTTACCCTAGCCTGTCCAGAACCTTTGTAAGAACCAGTTTCCCGAAAACGCCTGACGGCGTCTCGTAAAGTTTCATATGGAACTCCGATGGCATTTGCTGCATATCTAATGGAACGTCCATCATCAATAAGTGCCACACAATCCTCAGCACTAAGAGGCATTTTTAAACTTAATATTGAAAAAATTAAAAGCCGGAGACTAAAAAATGTGCTGCAAGAAACGGCACCGAACTAATGTGACTGAATAAACATTTTGATTCCATAGAAAGTAAACATTGGAATCTAGAATCATTTCATTGAATTAAGGATTAAGGGTTATTGTCCTCTATATTAACATTCCTAATTGAAAACAAACAAAAAGATTAGCTATTTATTCATTAAAAACAATAGACCAATCCAAAGCAGAAATATTTTTAGATGAAAATATGAATAAATCAAGTGGGTGGAATTTTTTACCTGTCAGTGTATTTAGTTTTAAAGTAACTTTGAAAATAGATTCTTCTTTATTAATATTTGTCCAGTCAAACAGTACTATTTAAAAACTCACAGAAACTTTATCCTCAACGTGTACTGTACGACAGCCTGCATGGCACGGTGAATAGAATGTCAGTCTTGCTGCTTCTAGACAGACTGGAGAATATTTAAGGTTGTCACAGCCACAGTTGGCATTGCAGTCATTAATCGTTTGCAAGCTGAAAACAAAATGATTATTTAAGAAGTATTGAAACAGGGGTGAACAAATATTTTAGAAATCAAACCAATTAAAAATTTAGATATAGGGCTCAAGTGGAAACAAATTTCCCCTAAATGCAGGGGATTGAATCTGATTGTTTTCATCTGTTCTATTGTGGCTATCATAATTGTCCATTTAATTTTTTTTGAAATTTTAAATTATTTTATTTTGCAAAGTGAAATAAACTAGTTTGAAATTAGTTCAATAAATAATGAGATTAAGAATAAAGGATTAACTCTCATGAGAAAAAACTTTTCTTTTACTTTTAATTTTTGTATTAATAACTAAATAATTTTTGGTTGTTTTGTTTGACTCTTTAGTATGTTATTTTATTTTTTTGACATCTTAATCATTTCATAATTCATTTCTCCCTTATCTTGATATTTGTCTTTATAAAATTTTATATGAAAAACCTAATGCATATTACATAATATAATCCTCACGAATCATAAAGAATTCTGATTGATTTATTCTATGATATCTACCTTGAAAACTCCTGCTTAAGATATTTCCAATGGGTATTTTAAGTTGATATTTATGATAAGGAATTTTTAAAGAACCATAGAGTTATATAGAATATTTATTTATTTATTTTAACATTTTATGCCATTTGCACATGTGCTGCAGGGCTCCTAGCAAATTTGATATATTAGGCAATAGCTGCAAATTTGTTTGATTAGTTTCAGTTTGTTTATTATTGTTGGAGTAGGTCCCTTGGCCATTTTCTTTTCGATCTGTGTTGATCAGTTAACAAGGAGCAGGAAATAGAAAGGACTAATGGAATAAAGTGATTTAGAATTGAATAGTGAAATGAAGTGTATTTGTCGTGGATGTAGGATTTTACTGTAGGGATGTTGAAGTCTTTATTTATAGTGTTATTTGAAATGTACCAAGGTGTGTTGACAATTTTTTGTAGAATTCTTGATTGTTGTGTTTGTATTTTATTTATGTGTGTTTATTTTACCAAACCATACCAAAGTTCTGATCCATATGTCCAAATTGCTCTCAGTATATTGTTGTAGATCAGTAGCTTGTTTCGTAAGTTAAGTGAGGATCTGAAGTCCAGAAGATGTGAGAGTTGGATATATCGTCTAGTCAGTTCTTGTCTTTTTAATTTAGTATGTATGTTCCAGGTAGAGTCCGAGGTACCGTACATAGTTTTTTGAAGGCACTGGGTTATTGTCAATCGTTATGGGTGGACTTGAGGCTTTCCTAAGACAGAAAGTCATGAGAGCGAATTTGTTACTATTTATTTTAATTTTCCATTTTTGAAGATTATAGAGGTGGTTTTGAAGAGCAATTGATGCGATAGTATGATTTTTGTGGAAAGAAAGAACTGCAGTGTCGTTAGGGAAGCAATAGGTGGTGATACTAGAGTGCTCAGGGATATCAGAGGTGTATATTGAATAGAGAATTGGATACATTTATTCTTTATAGAATATAGAACTCTTTATTCTATATAGAATAAATTTATTAATAATTATGATTGAGAAAAGATAAAAGTACTTACTTTTTTGTTACCATATCATAGCCAACTAAATTTGGGGCTTCACAACTTATGAAAATGTAAGCGAATTCTCCTATAACAAAGCAAATACCAACTACAACGTTCCATCCTAAGAGATAAGTTGGCCGTGGCTTGTATCTTGAGATCACGTAACCAGAAATAAGGAATCCAAAAACCATTGATAGCAGAATAACAGGACCTAAAACATAATCTATTATATAATAATTTGTACACAATGCATTTTTACTAAACTAAATTTAACAAGATTAAAACTCTGCTATTCAAGATTATGATCAATGCAAATTATATTTTTAAACAAAAATCTTTATTGTATGACAAAAAAATGTATATAAATTTTGATCAACAAAAATCTATGAGTGATAAGTATATGATATTTAGATGAATATATTATATATATGAGTACCTGACAATAAGCTGAAAATTCTAACCCAACAACAGGATCTCTGTGGAAGAGAAAATTTTCCCTAAGGGTAGACATATTCAAATAACTCTGCTCCACAATAACCTTAATGAATGATCAATAGTAAGAATTAGACTAGTGTATAATAAGTGTAACCAGAGCTTCATTCTCTCTTTTAAAGGTATAGAAATTCCTAGAAATCTTAAATTAAGGCTGTACAATGCTATGATAAAGCCAGTCCTGATATACAGCTGTGAGACCTGTACTTTAACCTAGATAGCAGTATTGAAATGCAGAGAAGAACCAATAAAGAACTGCCTACAGAAGATGGGTGAAACTTGCAGCTCCGAGCAATCCATTGGAAGTAGGCAAGAGGATCATGTGCAATGCCAAACATCAGATGGCGAAGTTGAATCAACAAAGATGCTTCACACCCTACTGGTCATCAGACAGACAGCAATAACACATTTTCATATTTATCAAGAAAAGAAAAATGTTGTTGGGTTTCTAAGGTCAAATTGTCCTGCCTGTAACTCATCCCTTAGTGTTAGAGAATGGAGTAAATGTCAATAGAAAATGTAAACAGCAAACTTGCATTAAATTGATTATGAAAGGCTATTTTCCAATAAAACTGAACATCAATTCATCTTTTATATCTCAACATCAGTATTTATGATCTCTAAAAAAAAATTAATTATTTCTTATTTTTTAAAATTTTAATCTTTTTTTAAAAAATAAATTTGTATATTAATGAATTTATTAAGTGGAAAAATGTAGAATATGTAATATAAAATCATTCCAAATATTTTTCTTTTCTTTTGGGAGACACATATCTCTTCTACATCCTTCTTTGTATAAACAAGATTTTTTTTAACCATATTAATGAATGTGCCTACAATTATTTAGGATAGTACCTTGTAGTGTTACAAAAATTTTAGTACTTATCAGAGGGTTGATGTCCAATTCTGTAGACATAAGGCTTGCCTAATTGAAGTGGTATAAGGAAGAAATTGATTCACTTTTTCTTGGAAATGTAATGTGTTTGACATATGAAAATTCAAGGGATTTTAAGGAGGAGGATTTAGCCATATTGAATTAAACTCATTACAACTGTTTCCGTGCTACTCTCAGTTAAAAAAATATTTTTCATCTATTTAGCACAGATAGCTTGCTTTGGTTCACAAGTCCAGTTAAGAGATAATTGTGTAATCGACCAATGGTCGAAAATATGTTTTTTCAGGAGGCTTTGAAACATAAAAATCTGTTAAAAAATTGTACCTTATTACAATATATTCTTTAACTGGTGGTGTTAAAAAAGTAAAAAAGATGCGTACCGCATTATATTTACTACATTCAGAAATTTAAAAAAAAATAATCATTTCTTATAAGTTTTTATTAATTGTTAATAAAAAATTTTGGTACGTTGATTGTATTGGGAGTAGCAAACCATTCGGCACGTTCTTTGCTCTCAGGGCTTTCCATAATAATTGAGACTGAGTCAAAAGTAGCTTTTATATCCAGAAAAGCAAGGTATAAGCTTTTATTTTTATTCCAGGCTTTTTCAATTATCCTTAAAGCGAAGATATGGTCATGGGTTTGTCTTCTGGAGCGAAAAGCTGCTTGCTCATTTTCCAGTTATCCCTCAACTAATGGCCTTGACTTCTTTTCTAAAATTGAGTCATATATTTTATATACTACCTGAGAGAGACATATTGGTCTGTAATTATCACACTCGCTTGTACTCTCCTTCTTGTGGATAGGTATGATAATGTGTTCCCATTCTTTAGGGATTTTCTTTTCCTCATAAATTTTCTGAAAAAGATCCTGCAGAACCTTAATTATCTCCCTTCTGTTTAAGGAATTCTGGAGAGATGTTGTCTCTTCCTGCTGCTTTCCCAAGCTTAAATCTTTTTTAAATCTTACTTCAATTTCTTCTTCTCATATTATATCTAAATCTTGCTCGATATCTTGTTTATCTGGATTGGGAATCGATTCTTTTTGTTCGTCACTGCATATTTTACTTCTTCCCTCCACCAATCTGTTCTTTTAGCCCTCATTTTGATTTTCTTCTTAGTACATGTCTCTGTGGTAGTTTCCAGTATACAACATCTTATATCGGACCACATTTCCTCTATATTCTTTTCTAGATCTATCCATTAGAGTCGATGATCTAGCAAGTCTGCATATAAGGTTCTTTTCTCGGGATCCCACAGTACCACTGTATCGATCCTTTCATATGATCTGTAAGAGGACAACAGCAAGAGCTATATCCTGTGGTAACAAGTCCTATATGCCGATGATTTCCAAATCTACCAATCATTCCAACCTTCTGATATGCCTGAGGCTGCCCGAAAGCTACAAGAAGATATTGACTGCATCAACAGATGGGCAGAAATAAATGAATTAAAACTAAATGCAGATAAAACTAAGACAATTCTCATTGGGTCTAGACAACTCATTAGATTCCTTCCTTACTTTCCTCTACTTTACCTCAATAACCGTCCCATCCGTTTATCCTTACAGTCAAAAACCTAGAAGTAACCTTTGACCAGAACCTCTCCTAGAATAACCATATCTCTCAGATTACCCAAAAATCCATAACTGTCCTTAATCAACTCCTAAGTTTCCGTCATTGTATTCCTCTAGCAATAATAATTAAAAAAAAAAAAACTCCCTGTAATCTTCCTTATATTTCCCTACTTCGACTACGGCTGTTTGGTGTATGGAGGGCTATCTGCCAGGCTAGAAATGAGACTGAAGAAACTCATGAACTGTGTCATTCTGGTACATCGAGTTGAAGTGGCTTTATCCTACTTCGCGACGACAATTCCTCCTGTGTGTTTTCCTTTTTCAAGTCCTCAGAACCAAAAATCCTCTCTACATCCTGGAACTCCTTACTCTACGTTCCTTTATCCACTCACTTAATACTAGGTCTCAACCTATAGATTTATATATCTCCTCCCATAAAACTACTTCCTTCAGCAAATCCTTCATCATTCGTGCTGCTTCCTTTTGGAACTCTCTTCCTACCTCCATACGTCAATCCTCGTCCACAAATTCCTTCAAACAACTCCTGTTCCACCTCCTACTCCATATTCAAACTTCCGCTAATATGTAAAATTACTTGTATCTGTATACTGTTTAATTTCATTCTACTGCATAATTGAAATAACAATAAGCAGTTAATTAGTTTGTATTTTTTATAATTTTAAGCTAGACTAATACCATAAATTTGTAACACTGTTATTATTCTTAGAGGATTGTAGTCCCAGAATAAAATTATTTTTTCATTCATTCATTCGAGAGCTATAATTGGGCATTGGAACATGAAAACCATACTGGCACAAGTAAAGGTTTATGCTGACGACATTCTCCATTTCTCTAACTCTACAAATAACCTCCTGCAAGCAAGGTCCCGAGTTGAGTGGGAAGCAGAACTAGAAAGGAAGAGCATGAATATTAATGCCAGGAAAAGCAAAATTCTACAAGTAGGATGAGAGCCCAATCGAATAGATATAACATGCAATAATCAGGAGCTTGAAGTCATAAATGAGTTCTCCTATCTTGGAACTGTGATCAGCGGAAATGAAAAATTCCAGCCAGAAATATCCCACAGGATAGCAAAAGCTAATAGTATTTACCATTTCATTAGTAACACGGTCATAGGAAAGAGAGAGGTAAATAAAGATGTGAAGCTCCACATTTTCATGGCCGTATATATGCCTGTTCTGCTGTATGGAGCAGAGAGCTGGGTCCTCCCGGACATTAAATGGAGCCAAATAACTGCAGCCGAGATGAAATACTTGCGCAGAGTGGCCTCAAAAACATGCAGGGATAGAATCAGGAATGAAAATATAAGAGAAAAACTAAACATTCCTGCTATGAAGGAGGCACTAAAGAACCGACAGGATGGTACGGGCATGTATGCAGGATGAACCCTGATTGTGACCTACGCAAATGTATGAAAGCAAGACCAGTAGGCACTAGACCTAGAGGAAGATCAAGGCTTAGCTATAATAATTATATTTCCAAGTTGGGACAAGCGAGAGGAAAGACACTACAGGAGGTGACAACTCTTGCGAAAGACAGAGTTAGGTGGAGATTCTGGGTTGGATTAACCTAACTCGATACTGAAAGGCATAACGAGATAGTTAAAGAAGAAGAGAATAAAAGTGTTTACCTAATACTATATTTGCAGAGGCAGACGTTCTTTGAAATTGTATCTCCATATATTTTGTCATATATGTTATGTATCCTGAAGCACCAAGGATATAAAAAACTCCTGAGAATATGTTGATCACAAGTAGCTTGTTTTTCAAAAGCCTCATAAGTGCTGTTGGAAAATCTTAAAACAATAGATCAAACTGTAGTTTCATTTTTTATAACAATTTTAAAAAATAAATCATATTATTTTTGAAATAATTGATACCTTTTAACTTTGGCATTTTATCATCTTTTATCAATAATCCTGTACCGTTTGAATTTACATCACTTGTTCGATGTTGTGATGATTGATCTGTCATTGGGCACACATTGTCTATCTTATTCAAGTTAGGTCTTAATTTTTTTGGAAACATTCCTAATAATACTGCAAGAATAAACATCATGCTGCCCAACACGATCCACCCTGAAAAATGAAAACAAAAATATATTTACTTATACCTAGAATTTCTGTTTTTATTCATTGTTTCAACCATCAGTTTTTCTACTCATGGTAGATTTTATGATGTGATGGAGTTTATGGCTGATGAATGGAATTCCATCCATTCAACATCACTTAGAAAACCCATAAGAGATTTCACAATCACTGTTATTCTATGTTTCATTTAGCTTTGGAGTGATTGGAGTGTGATGATCAATCCTCAATGGCCATATATAATAGCTTTCTCAATTTCGTGAACTTTTATTCATTTGAATTTTGTTTTCTCCTTATTTATTTATATATATTTTCTAAAATAAAAATAATAAATTAATACTTTACCTAACCACCATGCTCCTAGCCATCTTGGATCTTTTCTTCCAATAATAGGAGTCAGTCTTGGATCTATATAGATACTCAGGCAAAGGTATCCGATGACAAATCCGATTGATGGCCCAATTGTTCTCAGCGCCATTGTTGTGCCTGCAACATCCCTGCCACATTGTAACACTTTTAAATAAACAATCTATTTAGAATATTAAATGAGACACATTCATTTCACACACACCCTTGATTATATACAAAATGTTTTATAAAAAACCTAGTTATCACCAATATTATATCTGATGTTATGATCTCCATTGGTTTAGTCTATTAATTCATATGAAATAATCGTAATTAGTTTTCTTAATGTACAGCATGCATATAAATCCATTAATTTATTATTACAAATAAATAAGGTTGGTTCATCATCTTGTTAGTTAGTCTCAAGAGATGGTTAGTGGAACACATACCTAATTCCTTTAACTTTAATTTTGATATTCTAAAATATTTCAAGTAAAAAATGTCAAAAACTTTGGTTAGAATATATAGGGAATAGTTGTGCACAAACTATTATATGAAATGCATGTATAACTTTTCTCTAAACCCCTGAAAAACTGTGGGTTCTTGTAAAAAAGTTAATGAATTTTTGTGGAAGTTATATTTCCATAGCTTTGTAGCTATCCAAATTGCTGCTTGATATATCAAGATCTAATGGAAACCATACGTGTTTCAATATAAAAAAAAAATGTGAATTTTAATGAAATGAATAAAAAATAAATTTACATATATTGCAATTTAATATCTTTAAATAATTTATAAAATGTAATCATGATTAGTTCAACTCGAATCATTAAAATAGTAGCAGGAGAAGTTGGAAGTAGATGCAAAATAAAACATCTGGTGTGTCCACTCACAAGACTTTCCTACGTATTTCAGAAAAGTTTTTATATCTTTACATAAGTTCATAAAGAAATAAAAAAAATTGAACTAGATTTATTTTCCTGAAAATTAATCAAAGAAAAGATTTGAGTACGATTTATTTGATAAATTAAAGCAATGTAAACAGGCTTAAGGTAGATATATATATATATGTATATATATATATATATATATATATATATATATATATATATATATATATATATATATATATACATATATATATTATTGTTCCTTTAATTACCGTTATTTATTTTTCTAACAGGCCTTCAAGGACCACTTAAATATTATTTTATATAAGTTTCTTTCTTTTTCTTCAAAAGTAATTACAATATATATATGTATGTATATATACATATATAAATAATGTGAAACAGATTTTGACTGAGGTAAATGGTTGTTGAAATTGTTTGATTTTTAATTTTAAAAATCAATCCATGCTTATGTTATTTTGTTATTTATTTTTACCTAATTTCTGTTTTTCTTTTCATTTAAATAATGTTTTTTTTTTTTTCAAAATGATGTTATTTTTTATTTGTTTTAATATACTTTCACTGAAGATACTGTATATACTCTGTAATGTTGATTAGTGTAATTTTTGGCTAGATGTGGTTTATATTTTCTTGTTCATAATTTTGTTTATACTTTATTCATAAGGAGCCTTGTCCCAGAATAGTTTATTTTCTATCTACCTATCTATCTATCTATCTATCTATCTATCTATATATATATATATAATAAATATATATATATATATATATATATATATATATATATATAAGTTAAGCGTCGTCGGACTTAGAAAACAAAAAAAAAGAAGGAAAAGGGAAAAGATGTAACATACACGACTTCTGAAATAACACTGCTTTATTCGTTCCATAAGCCTCCTTATATACACTTAGCCTGTTTATTTACATTACCAGATAGTATTAAGGCTGATACCGCCAGTCTCCGGTCTTTATCTCCCCCCCACCAGTTTACGAACAGGATTTTCGGAAACTTAAATATTGCTAGATCGGAGCCCACGGTGACCAGCCTTAACACTTTACAATTGGTTGTACAGTATATCCTTAAAAGAAAATAAAATAGTTCCACTCAACTGGAAAAATATTAAATACAGAAGAAATAATTAAAAACACTGAAACTAAACACAGCACTTTAGAACTCCTACCACTTGAGAACTCCTAACAACAACAAAAAAAAACACAATTTCCTCTATACATGAAATAATACAACAACAAAAACAAAAAAAAAATCTTTTACAACTTGTTTTGTTTTGACAGCCACAAAAAAAACATATTCCTCTGTTTTATCTACAGCGGTGAGGGTACTACGAATCCATAGGTCTATGTCCCGACTCTATCATTGGGAGCTTTAATTGTTCGATATGAACGGTTCTCCTCTTTCTGGGCTCATTCACGCTCTCAATAGTTACCAGGTTATGCTCCCTAATAACAACCACTCTGAATGGACCCTCGTACCGTAGCAATTGTTTCCCTCTGTTGGTTCCCAATTTCCGGTAAACTATTGTTCCTATTTTTAGTTCCCCCATTTGGTCGCGAACTTGTACATTCTGCCTTTCCACCCGCTTCTGCTTTTCCCGCTTAATTCTCGCCGTTATCTTTCCCCATGTTTTCTCTACCTCTACCCTATTGCTGAGAATTTGATCCACTAACGGTTCGGTAAGCGTAGTTTCCCCATAATCCCGCCTTGGCCTGCGCATCCCGAATAGAACTTCCATGGGTGAAAACCCCGTTACGGAGTGGATCGAGTGGTTATAGGCTGTTACCGCTTTCCTCATTGCCACATCCGGCTCCAACCCTTTTTCACCCTGATATACACGGACGTGGTCGCTTAACGTACTGTGCAGCCGTTCAATACCGCCTCTACCTTTAGGATGTCCTGGGGTGTTATAATGCCACGCAATTTCCAATCGCTTCACCTCCTCCCTAATCGCGGCATTGTCGAACTCCCTACCACCGTCCGAAGTAATCCTCTCGGGGACCCCATAGAACTGCACCCAGGTTTGTAGGGCTTCCGCAACTGCATTGGCTGACTTCTCCATCACTTGGTATGCCATCGCCACCTTGCTGAATATGTCGATTACCGTGACCCACTTAAACCCTTTCCAGGTAAACGTGTCAATCTGAAGGTCCTGTAGCGGCATATTCCCTGTAGGTGTCTCCTCCTGAACTCCTCTGGGGGGGTGTCGATCGTATTTTGTGCGCATGCATATCTCGCATTTCCCAATGACTTCCTGGATGGACCTCTTCATGCCCCACCAGAAATACTTCCGACGCAATGCCTGCAGCGTCTCATTAACGCCTCGGTGATTGGTTTTCCCCTGGTGATATGCTACTGTGATTGCTTGCTGCTGCTCTTCGTCCTGTACCGTCTCCACAGCATACTTACACCGGATGAATGTCCTGTCCACGCCTATTCGCTCGGACCTCCACATTCGCTTGATCTTATCCCATACCGTATTGTTTCCTACGTATAGGTAGTGCGTTTTACCCGCTTCCGAGGCATCCCTCAGTGCCGTACAGATTTGTTCTTCGCTGACCCCGGGCTGCGACCAAATGACGCGGATCCTACTTCTCCCGTACCTTCTGAAATCGATCTTCATGATTCCGGTTGTTCGTGTCTTCCAAATCACCTGACGGTGTTTGTCGTTCACGATCTCCTCTATTTCTTCCATCTCCGCTGCCCTTTCCTCCGCTGAGCTCTCCTCTTCTGGGGAATCTCCCCTGTCCTCAATCCCTGCGGTGTCATTTGCCCCTTCGCCATCGGGAGTCCATTCCCTCAAGAATTGGCGCACGTCCTGCGATGGTCCTCCCCTGTCCTCTTCAACCGCGTTGATCATGATGGCCCTCGAGAGCCAGTCTGCCACCACGTTTTCCTTTCCCGGCTTATACACCACCTCTATGTTGTATTGGCTTAGGATCTCCTTCCATCTTGTGACCCTAGCTGAGGTTTCCTTGAGTTTTCCTACCCACTGGAGGGGTTTGTGGTCGGTATGGACTCGAAATTTTCTCCCGAATACGTATGGCCTGAAATGGTCGATAGCCCATACTATCGCGAGTAGCTCCCTCTCCAAAGCGCTGTACCTTGATTCCGCACCCGTAAGCCGACGGCTCGCGTATGCTATCGGTCGTTCACCCTCACTCCCCCCCTGGGACAAAACGGCCCCTAGCGCGTATTCACTCGCATCAGTGGTTATATTAAAAAGCTTCTCGAAATCCGGAAACGCTAACACCGGCTCCGTCAGCAACCTATTCATACATTTTCGAATGTTATTCTCCATCTCTGGTGTCACCACAATCTTCGCGCCTTTCTTCAACAAATTGTTAATGGGTACCAAATACTCTGCCATCTCGGGTACGAATCTCCGGTAATAATTCAGCGTCCCGAGAAGCCTACGAATCCCCTTGACGTCCCGTGGTACCGCCATCCGCGTGATTGCTTCCACCTTTGCCGCATCCGGTCTGACCCCCTCGCTAGAGATAGTGTGGCCTAAAAAATTGATCCGCGTTTGTCCCAGCAGAGACTTCTCGCTTGACAATTTCAGCCCGAATTGCCGGAGCCTTTCGAATACTGCCCTCAGATGCTCCACGTGCTCGGTTTCCGTTCTGCTAAAAATCAGCAGGTCATCCATGTATACCTGGCATACCGAGTCATCGATGCCCCTCAAAAATTCGTCCATCAGACGCTGAAACGTTATGGGCGCATTCTTCAGACCAAACGGCATCCTGGTGAATTCATAATGCCCCCTTTCAAATGTGAACGCTGTTTTGTGTTGGTCTTCCGGGTGCATCCGTATTTGGTGGTATCCCGCCTTGAGGTCCAGCGTGCTAAAGACCACGGCCCCACTCAACCTATCGAGTATATCCTCGAATCTCGGGATCGGGTACTTCTCGTCTACCGTGTTATCGTTCAATTTACGATAGTCTACTACCACCCTGTATTTTTCCTTATTATCCCCCGGCGCTGCCTTCTTTTTCACCGCCCACAGGGGACTATTGAATGGTGAGGTGCTATCAACTATGATTCCCTGTTCTTTTAGACTATCTAGCTCCTCCCGAATATGCTGTCTCAACGCCTGCGGGTATCTTCTCTCTTTCACGTAAGTTACCCTCTCCTGTTTCAGTGGGATTTCGTGCACCGTCCTCCCTGTTACTCCTAATACCTCACCTTCCCTGAAGAAGATATCCCTAAACTCCTCTTGTAGCAACTTCCTCCAGTCCTCCACTCTGTCCACCGCTCCTATCCGCACCCTTCTTTCTCTCGCGACCCCTATACATCCGAACTTCCTCTTTCCTAACCTAACGCTCCAGACTCCTCTACGGTTTCTAATGCTCGCCCCTACCTGACCTAACAAATCGCACCCTACTATGACTTGGTATTCCCGAGTCATGTTCTCTACCACATGCACCGTTAGCTCACCCTCTTTCCCTGTCCACCGATCAAGCCCAATTGTCGCCTCACCCTCTACACTACAGGGACCACCCAGAGTGATCAGCTGGCAGTCACATTTCTGTATCCGGAGTACCCTCTCGCTCCCGCACCCTTTTCCTAACGCCCTTCGAGTCATAATAGTGCTCGAGCTACCCGTGTCCACAAGACACTTTACTCCCCCGTCTACTTCGATAATTGGCAACCAGCATGGCTTACCTCGGATGTTGTTGCATATTGCTGTGCGGTCGCCTCTCTGCCGACACACTCCTCAGATGTCGTCCCGCTTCCTCCTTTCTGCCGCCGCTCGTCGCTGCTCACTCCGTTGGCTGCGCCTACCTCCTTCACCTCCGCTGCTGCCTGGTTCGTCCGTCTCCGTTCCCGACGCTCCTGACTCCTCGGTTGCCTCCTCCGAAGATCCGTCCCGCTGATGTACCCTGGCTCGTCTCTTCATCCTCTGCACATTCACCTCCATGGGTTCGTCCTGAGGTCTCTCCCTCCTGTGAAATATGTATGGGCACTGCCTTGCTATGTGCCCTTCCGTCCCGCACTCGAAGCATCTGGTGCGCGGACATTGCGCTACTAAATGTCCCGGCTTCCCACACCCGTGACATTTTCTCTCTTCCCTCCGGGGCCCATTCCTCGGCCTCGACGACTGTCCCGATCTTCTTTCCCTCGTCGGGGCTTTTTCTCCACTCGGCTGCCTGGTGTCCCTCTTCTTCCAACCTGTCGGGGCTGTCCATGGTCGTCTATCCGTCACCCGGGTCCAACCCGGTTCTTCCACATCCATCCGTGTCTCCTCCTCTCTGGCACTTAGGTCGATCATCTCCTGGGCGCATTCGAGGAACGATCGCTCTCTGGGCAGTCCGTCCCTCTTCCCCGTTTCTTTAGCCAGCTGGACTTTCAATATTGTCGACAGAAACTCCATCCTGGCTTCGACCTCTCCCACGCTCATTGTTTCCCGCATCTTCTCGGTTATGCGATTGTACTTCGCCACGAGTACTCCCGCATATTGCCCCCTTGACTGTCGTTGGGCCCGCCGCTCCCTAAACATTTGGAATATGTCCTCTTCCGGTGTCCACCTACCTCCTCCAAAAGCCTTCTTCAGCCGCTCCTTAATCACCGGCCACGGAGTCTCCTCGTCCGCTTGGATCTGGTTCAGGACGTTCCTCCTTACTCGGCACACAAGAGCTGCTTTTAGTTCTTCAGCGTCCCCTAGGTTCACCAGGTCCTCCGCCACCTTCACCTCGATTCTTGACATAAGACGATCTCCGCCTTTCAAGAAATGGTTGAGCTCGCCTACCTCGCCTCCGAATCGTTCCAGGTCCGCAATGGCCCTCCGTAAGTCCTGCGTGGTTGTTGCTCTTATTTTCATCCATTCCAAGGCATTGGCGTGTGCTTCTGCCAACGTGTCCCTTGGTAATGGAGGGATCTCCTGGATCTGAGGGATCTGTGCTACCTGAGGGACTTGAGGTATCTGAGGTACCTGAGGCGCGATCTGGGGTACCTGATTGATCTGTGGAATATCCTGAGGTTGAGGAATTTCCGGTACGCTTAGTACTCCCGGTCTAATCAATCCTTCTGTCGGCATTTCACCTTTTCCTTAAACACCAAAAAAAAAAATATCTACTTAAAAAAAAATTACTTCCCTGACGTTGTCCCGGGTTTCGGCACCAGTTAAGCGTCGTCGGACTTAGAAAACAAAAAAAAAGAAGGAAAAGGGAAAAGATGTAACATACACGACTTCTGAAATAACACTGCTTTATTCGTTCCATAAGCCTCCTTATATACACTTAGCCTGTTTATTTACATTACCAGATAGTATTAAGGCTGATACCGCCAGTCTCCGGTCTTTATCTTATATATATATATATATATATATGTATACATATACATGTATATATATATGTATATATATATAATATATATAATATATGTAATACTATATATATATATATATATATATATATATATATATGCTCATACGTATATAGATGGTAATTACTTTGGAAGAAAAAGAATGAAACTTATATAAAGTGATATTTAAGTGGTTCTTGAAGGCTTGTTAGAAAAATAAATAATGGTAATTAAAGTAACAATAATACTTTTAGGGATAAATTCTATATGCGTTAAAATTTAAAAGTGCATAAGTATTAAAATTAAGAGTACATAATGGGGTTATTTAATTTAGCCGAGATCCCTCACATAAAGAAATATGGACCAATAAAAAACAAATATTTTTCTATTTTTTTTTTTTGATTGGGAAGGGAGGGATGCTTCTGCCCAAAAGTTGAAGTGATGATAATTAATTTAAAAGATAATTAATTGAAAAGAAGTTGGTTAGTGCAGGATGTTATGAGTTATCAAATTTTATAAAAAAAAAAATAAAAAAAATCAAGCAACAGGAAATTTGAGCTATGTGGTTTTTTCCTGGAAGGTTTAGAGCAAACATGACTTACGTTTAAAACGCATGAATACTAACGAGTTGGGTATTGGTTTAGGAAATAACTAAGTAAGGAAGGTATGGAATTTAGAAGGTCACCAGATCCAATTGAAATTACTTAATATTTTTATAATTCATGATAAGTAGATTTTTCCAGGACAAAATTCTAATTCCATTAAATTTTCTAGAAGCTTATGCACTTATAACTAATGACACTTATGTGAGTTCAGAAGAATGATTAGGATATAGGAGATAATAGTGGTTTATTTGATTGTATTATCTATTTGTAATTTATGTTGATGTATAAGAGAATTAAGAAAATAACGGAACACCATACAAAAGAAAGAATTTCTTGGATGTGTACTACTGCAACTAGCGGAGAGAAGATGTTGAAAAATAGAGAATCATGGACAAAATATTGTGAAACCATGAACAAAGTAGGAAATATATTAAAATAGTCAAATATGAAATTTTAACCAACAGAACCAAAATACTTCATACATTAAAAATATTTCTCTGTTTTATTCGATTTTGAGAGTGGGGTAGCTCAGTGGTAAGGCATCGATTTGCAATCTGAAAGTCCGAGGTTCAAATCAGGTTTTTTCATCAACCGTAGATTAGTCCTGGGGTTGGGAGACCCTCCTGGGGCATACCCAGCCTCGATAAAATGGGTACTCTTAATTAAACAATTAATTAAGGATGAAAACCTGATAGTTGAGGGTGATGTAACAGAACTTCCTTACGTAGTACCACCCCTTCAAGTGTTGTAGTGATACAGATTTGTTTTGATTTAAAAAAAATACAGTGGTAAGTGCTTTGGTACCTAATATCATAGGTGTGTTTGTTTTCTTCGAGTTGTCATCTATGTATGTTTGCCCAAGTGAAAAATAAAGTGTGGTTCCTATTCCAAGTATAAACTGGGACATAAATACCAGCAGAGGCGGGACAACGCTATAGTCCTTCGGGGTACAATCTCTGGGAGATATCTCTTTGGAACACAGTTCACTTTTTTCCTCTGAAAATTCAATAGGATTAATTAATAATTAATTAATTTTTTGTAGTATTTAATTATTAATAAATGAAATTTAAATAGTTCATTACTTATTTCTATTTGTGTCTCATTTAGCCCAAATATATCCTTGTATTCCTCTGTCAGAGCTAAGGCAGAGGTTCCTGCCCCATAAAGGAAATGAGGTAAAGCAAGAACAAAACAGGAGACTGCTGAAAATGTCACACCCCAAGCGATCCATACAGGACGGTTTCGTTGACCACCATAATAAGTTAGCACTAATGAAAAAAGGATTTGGCTGATTTCATTTCCACTTAGCATGAAACCTGAAAATTTAATAATAATATATTAGTGTACTTTGAAACTTTGTAATAAAATAGTCGTCACTGATGATTTATCTGGTTGTAATGTTATTAATAAATGTGAAATAATAATTTTATTGAATTAAAATAAGAATGTTGTAAGTAATAGATACATTACTTATAAATTATTAATTAGAACAGGACTTAAGTTTTTAAGTATAAAATGCTATTTGTCTATCCTTAACAAAAATGGTTCTTCACTTTGAGAATGTTCATGAAAAATCTTTCAAAATCGAATTTCCAATCAAGTTAACCAATCAGTGACCGATATTTTCAAGTCCTTGGAATATTTCATATAAAGCCCAATACAATGCTTTGCAAAAAGACTTTCAGGAATTTATTTCATTTCAAATACCAAGAATTTATTTACAGAGGTGTCGGATTTACATCCTTGTAATGCTATTATACAATTGATTATATATAACTAAAAATTCATCTTGTATACGTCGGAGGCCCTTCTGTCTCATTTTGTTTTTACCCTCTCTCACTGATGGCGATATCCTAATTCTATATGCCTGATAAACGACCTGTGTCGACCCCCTCTTATTTACTCAAGGGGCGAAGTCGTGGAATTTAAAATCCTCTCCGGCACTGGGACGCAAACTCTGTACTTTTTAAATCTTTCATAACTTCGGTTATCTGGTTACGGGGCAACTCGTGGTGCTGTGCACACACGTTAGCCCATTCTGCCATCCTGCCCCTTAGAAGATAGACACTAAATCAAGGGCAAGGGCATGAGACTGCCCTCCGCTAATCATTGAATCTCATAATTATTCTCATTGGACTAACCCATTAACAGAGAATACTCCTTTGGGGAAATCAGTTTAATTGATATAAATAGAATTAACAACATTAAAGGTCAAATTATTCACAAATATTCCTCGAACATAATTTTGTCTACACAAGAACAGGGCTCTCGGTCCTATGGAATGTAACAGGCCCCCGATTATTGTACATAGGTTTTATGAAAATGTTATCTACAAAGTTGTCCGTTAAAAGTATTCTGTTGGTTATTTAGATGGCGAGATTAATTTTTAGGTTTTTAATCAATAATAATTTTTCTGGGTCAAATTATGAATTAGGTAAAAACCATACTAACAAGTTATTAATCATGACAACTGTTACTGTATGTTTAATTTTTTTACATGGCTAATTTTCATTCTTTTTTTTTTTCGAGGAGAGAGATGGTCCAGACTGGTGGTCTTAAAAAAAAAAACTTTAAATAGCGGAAACTATTTTAGTGAGCCTATGTTTCGATCGAACTGTCCAGGTCTTCATATAGTTTATATGGATAATAAGGATGAGAAATGGAAGAAATAAAATATGAATTCTAAGATCATGATTTACATGCCCTGGATGATATGGAATAAATTGACCTGTACCGCACACAGAAGAAGGGTAACAAAAAATAAATTGTTCACAATAAACAAGCAAAGAATCCTAACTATTTGAAATGGAATTTTGCGATACCAGTGTTTTTTTCTTTTTACTTATACAATTGTTCTGAGTGTAATATATGATTTCATCTCCCTCATACCTACCTTTCTTTTTTTTTTTTTTTTTTTTTTTTTCTATTCTTCCCTACCTCGTCTTTTAGTCTATACGGGCTTTTCCCGAACCAGGGCTGAGGGGGAGAATTTAAAATCATCGACACCGGGACGCGAACTCGTACTTTTTAATCTCTCAAATCTGTTATCTGGTTGCAACTCCTCATGCCTACCTGTTGTTTTGCTTTGAATCCCAAATCTTTTTTCGATTGTAGTTAATGTTGATATGAAGTAGACATAGGCCATTGCTTGGACCGCTCCCAGGACTCCATACACAGTCATGAACCACTTGGGGCTTGCAAATCTTTGTATCCAGTGTGGTCTGAATGAAGCCAAACCGCATCCATATTCACTGTAACATTCAAATAATAAATCAATAATTTGCTTTCGCATTCTTATCGTAGTCTTATTACTGCCCAATTGATGTATTAATGCAAAATTAAAAAACAAAGCTTTAAGACTCTCCAGTTGATATAAATTACTAAACAGTTGACAGTTTGCCAATTTAGTCATTATCTGGACTGGAAATGTAAATGATAAGTTCACATTAATTCAGACATAAAATATCACTTCTCACCACAGGCGGATCTACTGGGGAGGGACTTTCTGGCTGTAGTCTCCCCAAAATGGTAAAATGTAACCATGTTTTATGGTAAAAAATTATGTTTTAAAGTATTATTGCTTGTTTAATTACATTTAATAGGAATTCAAGTATTACTCAAACACCATTTCATATAGGTAGTTAGTATATTTCTGTTTTTCCAATGTAATTATCGTTTTATATATATATATATATATATATATATATATATATATATATATATATGAAAAAAAAAACCTTCCGGGCTGAAGCCCCTTCAAAATTAAATCCTGGATCTGCTAGTGCTTCTCACACCAGTAGTATAAACAATCAGTCTCAGTCCCCACTTATTTTAATAGTCCCAAGGTTGAGAATTTATTTCTTTTAAAAAACAGTTATTTTTATTGTAAAAAATCAGATGAGAATGTTATTATTTTTATTAAAAATTATCGTTTTCTTGTATTTTATTTTATTTGTAAAAACGACCAAATGATAGAGAATTTTTTTAAAAATATTGAATGATTAATTTACTGTAAAAAAATATATAGATTTTTACTTTCACTTACCTACATATGTAATATATGTTAAGTGTAAGTATTGTGATCGTGAAAATTTTTGAATCAGAGTTTTCAACGGGAATACACGTTTTGAGGTTCTCTGAGTCCAAATAACCAAGTCTCCACCAAAAATGGTCTGTGTGTATGTGAACACTAGCTCGAAACCGATAAGTCGTACGAAACTGATATTACATATTTAAGATAGGTATATGCCTTAGATGTCCTGGCAACTTTTTTGTTAAAATCGGCTAACCGGAAGTGCCACTTTATGTCAACGCTGCAACACATTTTTACAATTTTCTCAAAAACGGCTCTAAAATTTTGATTAAACTCGGTGTATCATTGTATAACACTAGCGGATCCAGGATTTAATTTTGGGGGGAGGGGCTTCAGCCCGAAACCTTTTTTTTCCATAAAAATAACGATAATTACTTTGGAAAAACAAAAAGAAACTAGCTACCTGTATGAAATGGTGTTTAATTTACTCCTTAAGTACTTTTAAATGTAATTACACGAACAATAATACTTTAAGAGGTATTTTTAAAATTTTTTTTCCCATAAAACATGGTTATATTTTTCCATTTTGGGGGGGGCTTCAGCCCGAAAGCCCCCCCTGTAGATCCGCCCGTGTTGTATAATGAAGTGGTCTTTAATATCATTTAGGTCTTATCCTCGTTTATGTCACTTTACAGGGCTTAAATGCCCAATGATCATATGCGTCTTCCTCTAAAGTACCTTTAATATGGTTTACTTTAAATAATCAACTACCTCTAATTATTAAAAGTTACGAAAAAATGCTAAATATAACTTTTGAAAGAATTTGATAATTGAATAAAGGAGAAATAAATAAAAATGATTATACAGGTCGAAAATGAATCTCCGGAAATACAAGTCAGAAGGTATACTTATAATATATCGTTGGAAAGCGGAGAATTTTAGAAAAAACAATATCTAATATAGAAAGTTATAGAAGGTAACGGAGAGCGGCAAAAAAAATTATTAATAATAATTTTTGAAAACTGATAATATTTAACGTAAATCACATGTTTTCGAGGAAATTAAATGAAATTTACTAACTAAATGTAAACTTTAAAAAATATTTTTACGTTTGTAGAAAGAATTTAAAATCCACCTAATCAAGGCAATGGCATTGTTAAAAAAACTATTTCATTGTACTTGTGTGAAAAAAGAAGTAAAATATAAAATACTTTTACTGTAGTTTAGTGATTGTAGATCTGATATTATATTTAAATAATTAGGTATCAACGTTTATTCCGAAAAATTGTCATGTAACTTTTTAGAAAATTAAATTAGTGAAGAATTTGATGAATCTTCCCTTTGTGATATTCCAACAATATCCACTACTATTTCATTGTACTTGTGTAAAAGAAGAAGTGAAATATAAAAATATTTCATAGATACGTTTATAACCTTAATTATATTTACTGTATTTTAATAACTCTAGATCTGATATTATATTTAAATATTTAGGTATCTATCGTCCGTTTATTCCTAAAAATCATCATATTATCTTTTATAAAATTAAATTATTGAATAATTTGATAAATTTCCCCTTTGCGATATTCCAACAGAATCCACTTACAATTATTGTGACTACTTTTGACCTTTCTATGACAGACAATGCAAATCTCTTAATTCCGTTTTAATAAACTTTTCAATGAAAAATAACAGTTTAATTACTAACAGTCGTACAATCCATAATCAACGGATCAAACAATCCATAATCAATGAATCGTACAATTCATAATCAACCGGTGATAATAAATAGGACTTTGTTATTTTAATAGTATTTATGATTTGTTAGCTGTAATCTTTTAGCTTTAGCTCAGTTAAAAATGCAATTAAAAAATTTTATAATAATCCAACATGGCCAGAAAATAATTTCTATTCAAATTTGAGCTAAGTTCAAAGAGTAAGTGAAAGTCGTGTCAATTCATCACCAAATACCAAGATTGAACCACCAATTTCGAAGGTTTCGTTCTCTTTCAGACGGGCAAAATAGTCCAAGCAGCTCGAAAATTCAGGAAAAAAGTTATGAAAGAAAAGAAAGTTTATTTACAAATAACTCGAAAATTATACTTTTATTCTTGGATTATGTACATGCTTATATAAAAGATTACTGAATTCCCCACCAAATGAAAAAAAAAATCTTCGAAATCGGACATTTATTAGTGAAAATACAGCTTATTGAAATTTGTAAACATGTTGGTATCAAACATTAATGCAATTTTAATTTAATTTTATTTCCTTTGTCAATTTTATTTAGCGAGAAAGTCACAATTGATTTCTCTGTCTTATGGTATGTTGCATTATTTCATTTTCTTATTAATAATTCGTCACTTAATCACTGGATAATATACTGTGCGAATTATTCGCACGGTTCTGCTAGTTTGATTTATTTTCATATGTAATTCTAATGACGCCCTTGTCTTTAGTTTCGTCCTATTATTTTTATCTGAGTGTTAACAGTTGAGTTAGTTTTGATGAAGGATTATCCCACAAGGTGTAAAGAAAATATTTGAATAAGGTTCTTGTATATGACCATGGCAGTTACGCAGCCGTTTAAAAAAACCCAGTATTCACTTCTCGTCTCATTATCCTACATGATTGTGGCTGCTTCCGGTGTTTCTGGAAGCTCTAACAGGTCTATATAGACGCAAAGCTAGCGCGGACCATTCCAATTCACAAGGCTCGAATCGCTCGACCATGTGCTACAGATGCGTTTCTTCTCAACACAACGCAGTAATTTTCTGCTGTTATAATATAGTATAATTGGCCACTGCACAGTTTTTTATTTGTTATAGCCAATACACTTTATTTATTCTAGAACAACTTAGAATAACTCACAAGAACGAAATTTTGGGGATTATAGCCTATGATTAACATAAACAACTACAAAAATTAAACAAACTAGTTGGCCCGTGCGAATAATTCGTAGACAATTTTGTTTAGTGAAGAAATAGCAAAGGAATTAATTATTTTTCCTTGATCTATTACAATATTCCATTAAACATAATAGACCAAAATATTTGTACAAATTGCTTTGCTAGAAACTATTTTTAAACGCTGACTGGAAAGATAATAAAAGTAATAAAGACAAAATAATGCCCCGATCATGAGATTTTTTAAATTATTAAAAAAAAAATAAAATGTAAGAACAAACAAATGCCTTTAAGAAATAATAAAATGAATATATCAGCCAGGAAACAAAGTGTAGTATAGTATTCTACTCCTAAATGCAATATCTATAAAGAGGAAGGCATTGTTAAGTATACCAAAACTAATGAACTCTATTTTTGTTAATAATTGTCCGTTTTTTGTTTTGTAGGTTATTTAGTAATCTTTCTAATTATCATGGGCACGCATGCATAATTTTTGAGTTATTCGCAAATAAAGTTTTTTTTCCTTCATAACTTTTTTTTCTAGAAATTTCGTGGGATAGGTGGAAGAACATTGAAGTTATAAAACTTTTTTTGATTTTTGTAAAAAAAATCAATGGGAGGAGCCACAGGTCAAATTTTAAAAAAAAATTATTTTCCCATCGCAATGAAAATTCGTATTCGAGCGTCTTTCGAGCTGCGAAATACAAATCTCAACTCTTTTTCTCTTTAAAAAATATTTCAACACACTTTACTCCTTCCGTAAATACAAATTGTTTAAATTATACATATTTCTAATCGATTTTTACGAATCATGGGCACAATAAAGAAAAAAATGCATACTTTTTGAGTTATTCGCAAATAAAGTTTTTTTTCCTTCATAACATTTTTTCCCGGAAATTCCGGGGGATAGGACTATTTTTCGCATGTGGAGAAGAAGAATATCTTCAAAATGAGTGGTCAATCATTGGATTTGATGAAGAATTGACGAAGTTATGGCGTGCCGAAAAAAATACCTTTTAGAAATAATATATAGGATAAAATTATAACTTATTATATTAACCTATAGAAAAAAAAAATGATACAAACAAAAAATAAAAAATCTGGTGTACCCTCTCACACGAATTTCCTACCGATCTTAGATAAATTTATACAACTTTAAATATGTCCATAAAAAAAAATTGCGTTTTAATGAATTTTCTAAGAAACCGATCAAGGAAATGATTATTAGTACGATTTATTTGATGAACTAAAGTGATATAAACGGGTTCGTGAACCATCATTAAAATAAGCGTATAAAATTCAATATTACATAACT